GGCTAAATAACAGACGCTATACACATAATCAACGATGCAGGTAACTGAATAAAAAATGCACGAAAAATATATATAAGAGCACACACACGCGGAAAAACGTGGCAGCGGGGAAGGACCCACAAACGCCCACGCAGTGAGCGGGCAAAATGAAAAGGATCGTCTATGCCCTACTTTTCAGTTATAGAAAAAAACACAAGAAAGAAACAGTATTTGCTATTTTTCCTCCATTTTGGCTGTATCACCGCTCACGTTTAAAATCAACTATCCCGGCAACTTCAACACGATCACTCGTTCCCTGCTACCGTCAGGCAGCGACACAAACCAGGCGCTGAAAGCGCCTCTCGCGCCCCGCCTGCCGCGAACGACAGGGAAGAGAGTGATACGACGGCCCTCAAGCCGTCACTTTGCGACTCTCTCACGAGTGATCAATTGAAAAAGGAACACGACATAATTGAGTGTTTGTACGAGTAAGATGGGGGACGAAACCACTCCTGTCACAGTTAGCCCAAAAATTCCTACTCACGTATTCGCTTCGCCCTCAACGCGGCGAGTGCCACGTTGCAGCTACACACCCCTGTTCGCTTTGGGCGCGGCGGTGTTGAGGCGGGTCAACTCCACAGCGTCATTCGCAGGATGCGAGGGGCCGCCCTCGTCGAGGTGCGACGCCTCAGTGTATGCGGCGGAGGGCGTCGGAATCTCGTCCATCGGCGTCACGTCGGAGTCCGACAGCTCGTCGTTGCTCCGTGCGGAGGCGATCGCACGGGGCGACGCCACACGGGAGTCAAGATTCTTTACGAAGGCCAACCTCCCCCGGCGCCTCGCGCCATGGATGTAAAGCGAGATGGACCCGATCGCGGCGAGGCCCAATTGGTACACGATCAGCGCCACAACCGATTGCCAAGGGTGCCAGTGCTCGAAGCCAAACTGTTCAATGACGGCCTCGCCGTTGGGGTAAGCGCAGTGCGGCGTGACGGGGTCACAGATGACGTCCAGCCGCCTGAATTCATTCGTAAACACACCGAGGTACGCATGACGCGGGAACGAGAGGTAATTCAGCCACACCCAGTAGGGAACCAGTCGTTTGGTGTTAGCGAACAGTCCAGCCACAATTAATAGCGGGAGGAAAATCATCGGCACAAGCGCAAAGGCCGTCGTCGCCGATTCAAAGAACGTCGCAAACATCAACCCGAATGAGTACCCCAACGTCGCGAGGAGCACCAGAATAAGCCAATGCATAAAGAACGCCCCAGGGGAACGGTAAAAGTGTATCATGAAGTACGCGACGAGATCAAATAAGGTTGGAAACAGCACCTGGAAGGGGATCTCGGCGACATACTTGGCAACGAAGTACACAAACGCGTTGTAGGAGTCGTTGGCCTGCTCCTGCAAGAACACGGCTCGCTCGGGAGGATAGGCAGAAATACCATGCATACACGCCCCAAACAGTTGTTCATCAGCGTTATATAAAGCGCTCCTGCACGGTCCTGTACACCTTGCTGATTCAGTTTCAAGTTGAAGAAGAAAAGACCCATAAACACCGCAAAAAAGAGTGTCTGTAATGAACGGCCCACAAATGCTCCAGGGTCACGACGAAACATCCGAAAAGCGCGCTTCCCAAGCTCAACAAACTGTACGGCGTAGCTGGACCCCTTCACCTTAAGCTGACTTTCCAAGAACTTGTCTTGGTGAGTAATGGGGCCCTGCACCACCATGAGGCAAGTGTTGTTGTTCGCCGCAGCTGAAGTAACGTAGTCTTCCCACGCCAGCCACAATTGGGACACTTCCTCCTCTGGGAGCTGCAGAACATTCATAAAGTACTCACTGGGGTTGGTACGGGGAGGAACCTGGTAGCCCAAGGTGGCAAAGTAGGCCACGGCGTCCGCCGTGGGGCCATGATAGATAACGTGGCCCTTTGCGAGAAGCAGTAGGTCATCGAAAACGTCGAACAATTCGGACGATGGCGAGTGCACCGTTGCAATGACCGTGCGCATATCCCTCTTTGCCAATTCGCGAAGCATTTGCCCCACGCGTAGGGCGTTGACCGAGTCCAGGCCAGTGGTCGGCTCGTCCAATAGCATGACACAGGGATTCGTCGCAAGCTCAGTTCCCACGTTGGCCCGCTTTCGCTCTCCACCAGAGACCCCCTTCAAAATGCCTGGAATGCCCAAGATGGTGTTCTGGCAACTCGTGAGGTGAAGCCGTGCAATGACCTCGTCCACAATTCTCTCCGACTCCTCGCTGCTCAACCCAAGACGCACACGGCACGAGAATCTGATCGCCTCGCGAGGGGTCTCTTTGCCCATGACAATATCGTCCTGCGAGACATACGACACCAGCTTCTTGTACCGTTGCGAGTAGATTGTGCTGTTGAGGAAGCAGCAGCCCTCCATTTTGGCCTTCGCGTTGTAGAGCTTGCCCGTGATGGCGCCCAGCAGCGTCGTCTTGCCGGCGCCCGACGGCCCCATGATCGCCAAGACACGCCCACCAACGGCGGTGCCGCTCAGGTTGTAAAGCAGCGTCTTGTACGTCGTGTTGCCGTCATCGTCCTCCACCGGGACGCGGTAGGTCAGATTCTCCCACGAAAAGTTCACAACCTTCCCGAGGGAAAGGGCGGCCTCGTGCGGGGTGTGGGCGCCAGCCTCGACTGGCTCCGTCATTGCCCCTTTTGCTTCCTGTCCCCTTGACTTCGCCTTCCCTTCGCTTACTGCCCTCAGTAGCCGCGCCAGTCCGCACACACACACGCACTGACGGCAAAAAAAGGGGTGCCGCGCCAAATGTGCCCTGCAGAAGTGCTGCTGCCCGCTCACGCGTATCTACCCGCGGCAGCGCGCAGAGAGCAGCGACACACAAAAGCGCGGACGGGGAGAAGTGTGTGTGTGGGTGGGGGGGGGAAGTGCAGACCGAAGCACACACACAGGCAGGCGCAGGCAGCCGTGTTGCGGAGGGGGCGCATGCAACCAAGAAAGAAGAGAAAATCGAGGCTCGGCTCTCCCACCATGACAAAAAACAAAAAAAAGACAAACTAAACCAACACAGAAAGCAAACTTCCCCTACCCATTGCTTTGCTTCTCCCTGTCTTCTCTACCAAAAGCAGCCACAAGAACAAAAAGTCAA